TACCATTTCACATGAGATCTCTTGGCGACTCGCCCATGCGATGCTCGGGATGCCGTTTACTAACACTTTGGCAGAACTTTTGCATACATGTGGTGTTGGTTTCACAGAGCAGGTTGAGGATCGAGAGTTTGTCTGAAGTTTGACAACCTCGGATGCGATAGCTGGAATTCTTCGTATCTCTCAATTGAATTTGTAGGCTTCAAAAAGCCATAACAATACACGTAGAAAGGATGAATGTTCCTCTTTTAGAAAACCGCAAAATACTTGGCCGGCCGCAATGTAACCGCCTGCATCTCATATCTCGAAATCTGGATTTGGCAATCAGTAAGCCCACTATCTCTCAACATTTCGCAATCGAACATAGTTCTTGATCGGTTTGTGCGTGACAACATCCCTCCCTTCGTATCCAGATATGGCCTCTGGACACATGAGTATTTCAAAGTTCCACACAATCAAACTGACGAAGATTCGCAGCTCCACGTACGCAAGCCTTCTACCAAAGCAACTTCGTCTGCCTTGGCCAAAGGCAATTTGAGGTCCAGCTGTGGAGTCAAACTCCAATTGACTACCATTGTCTGTTAATGCGCCGCCGAATTGTTCCTTGTTCGTGTTTTGATCATTGTTTGGCGGGCTTCCGGAAGTGAGCCACCGCTCAGGCTTGAAGTTAGCGATGTCCGCGGGATCCCATTCTGATACCCTCCCTTTGTTCTTCACCGCGATTCGACACGTTTCGTTTCGCCTCATCTCATCGATAGCATACGCTGGCTTACGGAGACTTGCGCCCTGTGTGAGACAAAAGATCTGAGTGCCTTTTGGGATGGGATGACCCAGCAGAACGGTATCGCAAAGAGCTTCTCGCTCAACCAGGGGCGCAGTGCCGGCGCAACGAAGAATCTCCTCCATCGTGGCGTCAAGGTAGGAAAATTTGATTCGCATGATTTCCTCTACTGAAGGTGTCCTTGCTTCTCTTGATGCTTCTTGGTATCGTGACTCCATGCAGGTGCGAAGTTTCGACTGAGCCGTCGGGTGGTCTGCTAGCAACTTGAGGCCCCATAGTATGGTCGTGCTGGTTGTATCGTGGCCTCCAGTAAGGATTCCGAATAACTAGTTATCAAGATTAGCGCTATTTGTAGAGCTCCCTAAATGTGTATATCTACCTCGTCTCTCATTGTAGGCGAAAGGAAGTCGGGCACCCTCCCGTCATCTTGAGCTATCTTTCTTTCTCTTTGCACCATCAGGTCCACTGCCGACCGCATCCATGTGTCGTTGTTGCTGTTTGCCAGCTGCCTAGATGTCGCCTTATTGAGTTCTCCAACAATGAACTCGTTCTTGAGCCTCATGGTTCGGCTGACCGGTGGGAGCTTTTCTATGATCTTCCACTTGAGGACGGGCCAGGGTGAGCCATGTAAACGTTCAATGGCGATAGTGACATCAAGGATGGTCGATAGGACCTCGTCGCATTCCACAGTAGGAAACTCAATCGGATCGTCAATGGTTCCGGACGCCCGCAGTTCGTTCAATCTTTTGCCATCGAGACCTTGAATAAGATCTGCTACAGGTTTTGTAGCGTTGTGTGGGAAGTCGCCACCAAACGAAAAGGCTGTAACGGCATCCAAAGCTGCGTAGAAGATATCTTCGGACACGTCAAATGGTCTACCGTCAGCTATGCGCGTCTTGTGTCGCCAAAGATCGATCAGATTCGTCACGTTCGAGTAGATGGCTGGTGCCGCGACGTCTTGTAGAAAGGGGGGCGACATGAGATCCTGCAATAGTCGTCGATGCGCTTTCCACTCGTCCCCGAGTTCCAGAGTAATTTGGTGGTTCGGCGTAGGACCTTTGAAAATGTTCTTGATGATTCGTCCGCGATCGAATTCCTTCCGCCGCATGCAGAGATCCTGCATCTCGCGGAAGTCACTCAGTATCACCACGGGTGGCGACATGGGACGAAGGAAGATCTGGCATACTGGCGAGTCGTGCTGGTCCGCCTGACGTTGCAACCAAGTAGCCAGGTCGCCCGTCTTCAAAACCTCGCTGGCGAGCTCTGGTAGGTCACCGAGGATTCGGCCGAGGGCTTTTGGGTTATACGGGATGCCGGGGATAGGCTTCGGCAGGGCTTTCCGATAGAGTCTGTACAAGAGGTAAACGGAAAGTATGCCCGTGAACAGTAGGAAACCATAGGCTTTGCTTGGAGAGATCGTCTCCCTCATGAGATGAGCCGTGTCAGATGAAGTTACGAAAGGCATTGTGGCTATGGTTCTTCCAGAAGAATGGCTGCACGAACGCCAAAGTGCTAAACCGGCGTGGGAAGAACCGACAGTTTATACGTGACGTCGCGAAAGTCAGTTTGTCACAGATGGTGATGCCCAAAGAGGCACGCTGTAGTCATTCGGGTTTGAGGACTCGAACTCCTTCTGCAGACTCCCGAAGGAACCCAATTTGTCGGGTCTGGGAGTTACCGCAAACGGCATTCGCTGTGGTGATGGGAAGTCGGTAACTAGAAGCGGTTCCCCACGTGCCATGGAAGCTTCCCACCATTGTGCTACGACGTGGATTCCTAATAAGGTAACTAGCTCATTGCGAGCAGTCTTAGCCGTCAGCTCTATGGGGTGACACTCAGACCACCACCACCACCACTTAACTACTGGAAGTTGAGGGCAATCGACGAATCTGTAGCAACGATGCTTTATGAGCCTCGAGAGTACGGCCACCATAAGCCTCGTTACACATGTGCAGCGACAAGAATACGCAAGACAGAGATCGATAACGACTAAATGGCAGGTCGTCTGCACAAGGTTTAGCTATGGTTGGTCCCGATGACCATATGTACTTTGGCCTGATGAATGAGTGAGGCAACACCTATATTGGCGATTATGGATATTGTATGTAAGATGATGTTTAGAATCGTTGGTTGAAAAAGTTGAGCTGTTCAAATGATAAAGTGCCAAGCATGCGGTGAGTGATTGATCTGCTTGTGAGTTCACGTTACCCCAGAGTTCCACGTACAATCGGGCACCTGAATGCAGGTCAGTTGACGGATGCACATCAGCGACCGAGGGAGTGGCAAGAGTCAATTTCAGGATGGAATAAGTCATCATGGCTTGTTCACAAATCTCTCAAATGGTGTCAGTCAGTATCGGCAACGCAGAATTCGTGTGATCACTTGAGAGGAGACTTCCGGGGATGCAGAGGGGCGAACTGAAGAACTCGGATGAGCATCATCATCATCAGGTCGAATGATTGAAAAGCAACGGCACTCCAGTAGTATATGGAGCATATTCGGGTCCGATTGGGCATCGCAGCGCTGTTGTTTCTAGCAAGTTCATCCGCCCGCGAAAACGAAGTTCAATTCCTCACTCTCGCAACACTTGCCGGAAAGGAGTCGGACAGAAATAGTGATCTATGTCTTTACCAATAGAGTGAGATGTGCTCGATAAAACTGGTACCTGGCGATTCAAGAACCCGCAGAAACTCTGTTCGGTAGAGTTTCGGTGGCGGCGGTGACCACAGGAGCCGAGGGGTTCACCGAGACCGCCGAAAACATGTTCATAAAGGCCTCTCGTCTCTGATAAGCTTTCTCCTTGGAGGTTGCTCCGATAGGTGACCCCCATGTCACTGTCAGAGTTCATTCAAGAATCAGTAGGTCGGCTCCGATAAGTCATCATCCGGCCGGTTGTGTCGCCCAAAATTCAAAGTCTGAAGGTTATCAAGTATCGTAAGACTTACATCCATAGTTGCAGGGATGCGTATAGTAAAAAAACAGCAATCTTGAGGAATGCGCCGACTCGATCAGATATTCTGGGAGTCTGGAGTTTCCGTCAAGCAGCTCACGGGGCCGAATCACCGTAGCGTCCTAGTCAACCGGTGACTGGATCTGCCAATCCAAACACTCCTAACCTACTCATCTTGTCAACCTTTTTCTATATTAACTACGACTGCTAAGTTATGGAGGAAGACATTCAATGTAACGGGTTACAATCTCGAACTCTTGAGCATGATTGCCAAACGAGTAAGCAGATATCCTAAACATTGCCCACCTGTCAAAAGCTTCAGAGTCATAGGCATACTCTAGAGGTCTCCTCACTGTTACCTAGATGATAGACAAATAACCAGCGCATTCCAATATTTCGCAACTTTTTAACTGAAACCAATACAATTAAGCCGACTGGTTTAGTGCCCAACATCTCCGTGGCCCCCTCCTATCCACATTTGGGCATGATCCACATAGCACTCTGTTCCACTATGAGCATTACTTAGTCCGATCTGGTATAGTGGTCAAGTTGATGCCCTCTCATACATGATTAGCAATTTGAGAGGATAGGCATAGCCCCGAAGTCGATTGTCGGTTTCGGAAACGTGAACACGCGTATTGCGCGGTTTCGCTTTGGATCAGCATTTTGTTCAGAGCTGGCAAATCCAGTCTCGTGCACCTTTTGCAAATGGGGACTCGCAACACCCTGCTCATTCTTTATCTCTAATCTGCTTTCGAGTACTTTTCAAAGCTAATGGAGAGGAGATATCTGGTATTTTGGAAAACGATGTCACGGTCCTGCCTTCTGTGGGACGTAGTCTGTTCGTAGTGAATGACTTTAAATATCACTTTCTCCGCCCCTTAATTGATATAGATTAAGCCATCTCCGGCAAAGATTCTCACAAGTTCCCATCAGTTCATCATGTATTTCCTCTGTGCTCATTCACAGGTCTAAAACTCATAATTCCGGCTTTTCCTGAACCTTTACTGGGTTTTGCGCCACCAAGATTGGAACAGATGGCCAGTGCTTATGGCTGTTCCATGTCCTGTACGGTCCACACCTCTAGGCTGCCGGACCGCTGCCTAGCGCGTCCCTGCTTTGCACCCTTGTCAAGCCAGATGATAATTAGAGGCAAAACCAGCGTACAGAGTCCTACTTCCATCCAAAGAACCAATTCTCTAGACACTCTTCCGACCTCGACGAATCGCGATACCTATGTAACTTAAGGAAATAGCCAATGAGATCCTCAATATGATCATCGGGCAACTATTCCGACTGAAAAGTCCCAGGGACCCCGCGAATATTCGTGAAGTTCGCAAGCACCTTCTCCCCGCTCGCCTCGTTTGCCGACGATGGAATTCTATTGTGACTGAACACCTGTATCAAACCCTGGAGCTAGCACACACTGGAACCGTCAACGGCGACGAGACTGGGTTTGAAGGCTGGAACAAGACTCTCGATATCGAAGCCGCCAGGAATGCTGCTGAACCCGTCATCATCCAGAGCTGCTCCGAGAAATCAAGGCAATTTGGGGACTGGGAAAACTGGAAGAATGGAGAGTATGATGCTTTCACATCAGCCATTAAACGGATCAAACAGTTGCCAAACATCAGAGCTATCGAACTGCACTTCAGCGAGAAATGCAAAGGCCGGTGGTCCAATCTCCATAACCCGTGGAACGACGTTGAGCCTAGCGAGACCCGACTACCTTAGACACACTCAAGGCAGTTTTCGAGGCCATTCGGGAACGTGCAGTTCAGCCTAATGCCGAAGTCAGCACAATTCAGTCCTTGACGATTCATAACCTCCAAAACATGCCGCATCAAGAATTCGTCAACTCTGGTCTTTTCAAAGACGTCGCCAAGGACATCGATCGTCTTCACCTGTTGATCACAGAGGAGTATGATGAAGACGGCCCAGACCGCGACATATTGATGGAAGAGCGCCTGGAGTTTGAGAGCCATCTGCAGCGACAGTTTCTTCCTCGCTTCGCGGCCAATCTCACCGCTCTGACTTTGAACTTCCACGAGTGTTGGGGCACCATGCCGGGATACTTCGACGGGGCAGGCCTAGTGTTCCCTCGCCTAAAGACGCTGAACCTGGGAAACTTCGTCATCAGCAACAACCGTCATTTTGACTGGGTTCTCTCACAGAAATCGCTTAAAACTTTGCGTCTGGACAGCTGTCATATTGTTTCTCACATTCAGGTTGACACCGAGGAAAACAAGGATTGGGATCTTCACAGGGAAGATTGGCAGCGTCTGCCCAAAGGCTCGTACGGCATATTTCATGACAGTGCCGAACTATACAGGTTCGATGGCACGTGGGAGTCCACTTTCGATAAGATACAGAACAACCTTCCCCACCTCAAGGACTTTCGATTTGATAGGCAGTCTTACAGACTTCACTTTCTCAATCCTACGAGGATCGGCACCGTGCTGCACCCGAGTCGATACATCAACTTCGACGCAGGAACCTTTCCTAGTCCATGGTTGACTTCAGATAGTGAGACTGGTGAGATGTACTTTGGAGATTACGAGTGTTCTATGAACCGTTCTGAAGAAACAAAGCAGGGCGACGCCAGAGCGTTCAGAGATCTTCTCAGTGCCTGCCATGAGAGGCATGAGTAGTGTAAGGTAGAAGTGACGGCGGGGCGATACCTACCTTACATCGTGCTGAATTTAGAGCAGGCAACAGATGCAACAAATTGGAAGGATCACATGAAGACTTAAAACTTTCCATAGCGTACCTAGATTGATCTGGGTTACAAGACTCTAAGTGCTGTTCTTTTTCGATCCAAATACACGCTGTTACATATGCAGAAGCAAAATTTGCAACATGCATTGCATGTTTGTCACAAACACCACCATCTAGCTTAGCTGTACCAAACAACATTGGCCGGTCCCGATGCCAATGCCAGGTGCGCGACAGCTGCCGCAGTCGTGGATGAGCCAGTAGCGTCGATCTTCCATACTTCTACGAAGTTAGAGCCGCTGTCCGTAATGGCAAAGTAATCCTCGCTGAACTTGGCGGGGGAGACGGCATTGGCGGAGCCACCGCTGTTCGTGGTGGGAGTGAGGAACAGCTGCTCGGTAATGGCACCGGTGGCGCTGTCGAGAGAAAAAGCGGAAACGTAGCCCGGAACACCAACGGTGCGGGAGCGGGTGGCAGCAATGAGGTACTTGGGTGCAGTAGCGCTGGCGTTGCTGCTGGGAATGGAGAACATGACTTCGTCGGCCCAGTAGGACGACGTGTTGGTGTATCCTGAAAAAATGTTACTCATTGGCTACAACAATACTTTTTCTTTAGCACATACCTGAGGGCAGGAGAGAGTAGGTGGTGTTGGTGAAAATCAGCTTGCCGGTAGTCGTGTCGCGCTTGTAAGACGCGATGGAATTGGCCTCCTCATAGACGACATAGACCCAGTTGCCATTGGGGTGCACAGTCAAGTGTCTGGGGTTGGATCCCTCGGCTGCGGCAAGGTACTGAACTTCTGTAACCTCTCCAGTGGTGTTGTCATAGGAGTGTGCCCAGACGGCGTTGCCCATGTCATCGGCGGAGTAGATGAAATCGTTGTTAGGGCTCATCCATGTTCCGTGGACACCTCCGGCGCTGTCATATGTGACATTCGCAGTGGCCTCCTGAAGCACACCAGCGTCATCGACGGTGATGGCCAGGCTTGAGCAGCCACCTCCATAGGGAGTCCCGAAAACAGTGTAGGGAGAGGCAGAGGAAGACGTGATGTAGTTGGCGTTGCTACCTATTCACTGTAAGCAACATGCTCATCTCAAGACATTCCACTTCGGGGGTGCTCACAGTCTGAAGACAAGCTGACGTTGCTGCTGTATGTCAAGCTGAGGTCGTCTGTGATGGCATAGCTCTGAAAGTAGCCAGTCGTACCGACATACAGGTTCTTCAGGCGGGACTATCGTCAAATTGTCAGCATCCGGCCTGGTTGTCGCATTCTCAGGCATTCTTACATCGATGTGAATCCACTTGGAGCCCGAGCTCGCGTCTGTGCTGATATTGTTCTTCAAAGTGAGCGACTCTGTCTGGTCATCGAATTCGACACCGACAATAGTGCTGCCAGAAAAGAAGCCCGAGAAGAAGTAATGACTGTCGGCTAGAGCCGGAGCAGCGGCTGCCGCGAACGAAAGTAATTGGAACGAGCGCATGTTGTTGGGCTTTGGCAGATCTGCAGATGGGATGAACAGGCATGGAAAGGCAACTACAGACGAGACTGGTACTTGGCATATTTAAACGTCAATTTGTAGAAACGCCTTTACAGCTAAGATGACGACTCCCGAAGGCCTCTATCCCGCCGGCGGGAGACTGTCCACATCACGAAGATGCTAAGCCCCATATCAGGGGGCCGTTGCGCGGCTCGATAAAGTATACCAAGCTTTTTGTCATGGGGGACGTATGCCCAGGGGTTAGCAAATACCGCTATGGAGTATGGAGAACAGCAGCCAGTGGCGGTGGAGAAACAACATGGAGTTATGGACAAAGGGTTGACGTTTGGAGCGGTAAAGAAGGCCTCGCGTTCTCTGCAAATGCCAAGAATAGTTTCAGAGTGTGGCTCAATACCAGAGCTGACGAAATTCAAGGGGCCGGTCCTACCGTCCTATGAGCGACTACGCCTATGTTCTGACAGGCGCACGCGTAATCCCGAAAAGTCGGCCAAGCCGTATTCAGTAAAAGTCGGGTCGGGATCTCCATTTTTGATGGGGGAGAAATTCGTCCCGCGGCTAGGCAATGCTTGTTTCAATCTAAGTGCCGCTGGTGGACGAGTCCGGGCTCAATGTTTTCCCTAATTTGTTAGAGTTCATCCTGTGTACTGCCCACATCCCGTGCCACGGCTCTGGTAATAATTGTCCGGCGGGATCCACGGAGCTGACCCCTACAGAAAGCCGGAAGTGCCGACTTTAGATCATCTCCAGAGAACCTGCTAGCTACTCATTCAGGATGTATTCGAACCGATCTAAAGATTGGAAGGGCATTTATGCCGCCTCGTCTCCTGTCATAGTCAAACTCATCTTGAGTAAAAACCTTTTGTCTATTAAATAAGGTCTAAGTGCGACGTGCGGACATTCAGGATATCAACCAAGCCTTTACTTCAGCGTCCCGGCTCTCCTCTTAGTAAAATTACATGTCAATCCCGTATTGATAACAAGCACTTGGCAGCTCAATTTTACTATCCCGATCCCGTTGGAAAGAACTCAAGATCGGCGCACTTCGTTCAGCTCATCCTCTACAGGCTAAATACTGACTCTTTAGTTTCCAGGCCGCCTGGATGAGGAATCCAGGAAATCTTCAGGTGAACAAACGACTAGAATGCTATCATTTCTTTCGGTTTGACTGCAATTCCCAACCGAAAGATTTGAAAAGTCATAATCGAATGTCGGTTCAATAGCTAGCTCGACCATCCACGCTGATGCCTTCGAAAACCTTGAACGAACCAGGCTCTACCGGCTTCAGTAACCATTGATTCAAGGCCACCTGGAATCAACGCGCAAAAAGTGGAATACCCCCGCGGATTGAACGTGACAATGGATATGATACCTCAAAACTTGACATTTTCCCACGTCTCAGGTTAGTAAAGATCGCTACCAAAAGCCTTGCTTGATATAAGTCCCGTAGGATCGGACAGCCTCATTATGTTGGTCGAGGCACACCAACTCTCAATTGTGCATAACGATTCGTCGAATCAATAAAATGAGCATGCGCGTTGCAATATTTCGGCTAGCAACATGCTGCATAATCATGGATCAAGCAGCAATATTGCATGCAATAAGGTCCATCCGGAGTGAAAGTGCACTTTTGTCAGCCTGGTTTTGGTGTACCCCTGTTATGCAGTGAGCCCGATCCGCCATGCCGCTCGCCATCATCATTGGATTTCTTCTTCTTAAAGTCCAAGATCTGGGTACCCCCAATCCGTTTGATGGCCATGAGCTTCTTGCTAAGCCTTGAACATTTGATAGAGCAATGGAGGAGTGCATGTTCAAAAAGCACTTGGCGAAATGTCGCCATGTCACTGAAGCAACGACTTATCTCACGCTCTACAACTACACAGCAAGTCATTGTACCCATTGATTCGCTTTCTTGCAACAATATCCTGACCGTTCTGGCTTGACTTAGGATCCATCTTTGAACGCGTTAAAAGAAGGAGATTTGACTCTTGACAACTTCAATGACTTTATATACGAGCAGGTGAGACTTTTAACCCCCTTTAATTCTCTGACTACACTTACCAGCCATCATTTTGCTACAAAAAGATTCCTTAGCACTAAGACTATCGAAGGGCGAGTTCCATCCACCGGTCGTAGAAGAAGAAAGCAAACTTTCGAGCAAGCTTCGTTTAATGTCAGGACAGACTTCGAATGGTGAATGCCACAGTGACTGACATTTCGAGATAGCATTCAGAAAGATGCCAAGGATTTGGAAACATTCACACCGCTGAAGATTCCACTGCCACCAGCACATTATCAGCAAATGCTCAAATGCCTACGGCTCCCACTGCACGCCGTCGAATTGACCACCTTTCTTGGGCCTCTCTTCTGGTACAGATATGTTCTTCTTGAAGACGATGATCCTCACCTTCGTAAGCTTTCACCACCTGATACTCATAGCCTCAAAGCTCTGAACTCACTTCGTATTTAGAGATGGTCTTTGGAAAGCATGATAGCCGTAAGAAGACCGGAACCCGCGGCTGGGAACTGATTCTATCATATTCTTTCAAGCGACGCGAGACCACAGGCTTCGTCAAATGGACACCTACCGCCGATATCGTTGAGTGCTTGTCAAATTTGCGAGATTGTGTTCTTGACATATGCCATCCACTTCTCATCCCCAGCATCATCATGTCTGATCTCGTAGCGACATCTGACGAAGTGAAACAACGAGAAGCCCGAACTAGCATTCGACAACTAGAAAAAGCAATCAGTGTCAATGACGATACAACAGGCTTTTACTACTCAAAGGACGGCACCATCGACTTACGCACAGTCGCAAGTGATCTCACAGAACACCACAGAAGAATTCTTCATAGACCACCCAAACTTTACTCCAAGGTCATCGATGCTTTGGAAGCTGCCACAGATTGCTTCTGGGCACATATTGACCCTACTGATAAGACCAAAGCGTTGGATCGGCTCCATGCGACTTTGAAGGACCGTTTTCATTGCCACAGAGTACGACTCGTCGGGTTGGAGAAATACGTTTCCATATCCGTGGAACGCTTGAATATCCAAAGAAGCATGGTCAGAGATATACCTACTCATTATGTACTTTTAGCTAGTAAGGGTCGCGAAACGTTTACTAACTAGAAGTAACTTAGGTTTCTTTCATTACGGCCGAAATTGCACAGAAGGATGCGAAATTGAACCTCAAGATAGCAGGAGATCAGAGAAAGATAGCTCATGCTAGCAAGAGCGATAGTCAGGCAATGAAGGCCCTTTCTCTTCTCGGTGCTGCTTTTCTGCCTGGCACATTCATCGCCTCCATTTTCAGCATGTCATTTTTCGACTTCCAGACTCGTTAGTATCAGCGCCCTTTTAATTGTTTCCGTATTGTTCAATACTGAGACTTTCATATGATAGAAGCTCATGTTTCGTCCAAGATTTGGATTTACTTCGCGTTTATGGTCCCGTTGACCACGGCAGTCCTTCTTGGTTGGCTCTTCTGGGATCATAAGCGAAGAAAATTGCAACACTTGACAAGGTCATCTTCCAATAACAGCGGCTCTGACACAGAGAAGGCAATCATGTTTGAAATATCCAAGAGAGCGTGAACAGACTCGGCAGTTGTGTTCACTAGCTTCTAAAGGTCGTTATTTTGTTTGCAGGCTGCGAGAAACCTACCCTAGTCCAAAACCATTTGGGAATTTCCGTATCTTTTCGGTCGCATTTGTCCGATTTCTCCAATACAGTCACTCAGAATTTCAAGCTCACAGGTAGTTCACTCTGCGCCTCTCTTTGCGACTGAACATAAACTTCAAGGTCATCATCAATCGAGACCCGGAGCCGAGAGTGGGGCTGGCGGGTGACTTCGGGCCCATACTGAAGTTTGAGCCGAGAAGGCCGGCTGGACTTTGCAAGTAATGGATGGGGTCTTGCGCTGTACATGCCAGCTCGTGCTGCCTCTTCTGGCTGTAGGCATTGAACATTCGTTCACATCGGGACATGCCATAACAGTGGAGACTCGGCGTAGTAGCATAGGGATGTTGCATGACTGGGACGCGCAGCAGTGGCGACGATAATGAAGCAACAGAAGGAATACCTTATTTCATCAAGGTTCCCCGTTACCTGCGAACAGATACGTCGTATCGAATCGAGCTAGTCGCCGAAGCATAAATAGGAATATGGGGGGTTCAGTTACAGAGAAGGAGCTGAGAGTATTGGGATAATCTGCCCATTGTCGGTGGGCTTGTAGGCTTGTTCGATCTTGGCGATGAAGACAGCAGTCTAGCACAGCCACGATGATTGTTGGTATCTCTATTACAGGGTAATTGGTTCGAACCGTGGATTGACGAAGAGATCAATTGAACTATATGAATTTCTGCGTAGGTGTAAAAAGGAGGTTCCAACCGTAGGTTGGGCAGGCCGCGATAATCGGAAGTAGGGGCCGTAATTGGCCCCTGCCCGGTCGGCCGTACGCCGAGGTCGAATTGGACTTCCAATCCGACAATGATTTCATAACCGCGTATGCTGTCCGAGAGACGAGAGGAATCTCCACGCCTATCACATGGCACTGACCCCTTCACTTCTGTCTGCCCTGAGTAGAATATCTGACCTTTACGCAGTACAACCTGCCAGTTTTTGGGATAATACTCTACAACATTCTTATCTATAAGCCTGAAGAAGGTAAATTCTTTGAATCGCCCAGTCCAGCTCGGCTGCCGATCGTATTGGAGTCGACTTCTGAGGGTTGGCATGAATAGCGAACAGCAAGAGACGGACTTTGGGAATCGGCGCAGCTTTCGGACAAATAACACCTTGGTTCATTGATTGAGATTCGGGCAACCCGATGTAGGGGTAGCGGAATTTTATCTCAATACCTTCAAGTTTCCACAAGGAGTTGTTCTGGCAAGAATCTTTCCTGTTTACCTACAGCGGCTATGAAAGACGGCTGCAAGGATCTATGCGGTCGTCCAATTGGGAGGCCATTCTATGCTCGATTCACCTTGTATTAGGACAAGTGGGCCGTTGCCAAATGCAATACCGAGCGAACTACCGCGCTGATATGTTGAACTAAGCTTGGGTTGGCATATGCTTAAATTCGGAGGTGGGTACGGCCTCGGTCCGTTCTCAACCTCGATGGCACCATCACTATCAGTGGACAAATGATAGAATCACAACTTTGGGCGTTTATCATTCGTCAACAAGAACAGCTACTGCTGCCGCGTCATGCCCATACAGACGTTGCTATGCTCTGCAGATCATGAGCCTCAAGTTGAGTTCCGAACCTCCGAGGACAAGAGCCGAATAGACCGAGGTTTGTTCGTTATTTAATCCAAATACTGCCTGGCTTGAGGGCTGAAAATGCAGTTCAATCACCATTGTCAGTTCCTTGACCTCGAGAAAACGTCTAAACTTGGACACTATGTCGCTTAGCTTTCTCAACAGCACCATGCGCGCTGCCGTCATGACGGGGCCGTATCAAGTTCATATTGATCAGTTCCCAGTGCCACGCATCATCAATACGACTGGCGCAGTAGTTCGGTTCACAACTTCGGCGCTTTGTGGTTCAGACCTGCACCGTTATCATGGGTTTATAGGAGGGGAGCCACCGTGTGCGCGGCGCCACGAAGCTAGTATGAACCTACTTCTCGGGCAAGAGTATGTCCTACTCAACCACATGAAAGCTAACAGTTATACAGTGGGATATATTGAGTTCATTGGTAGTGGTGCATCATATTTAGAGGTGGGGCAATATGTCATCATTCCAGATAATGGCGCTACTTGACACATCGATATGGGAGTTGTGACTGGACCTCGCATGGGCCTAGCCTTCGGAGGTCTAAACGGAGGTCTCCAAGGTTTTAACTCAGATTCTCCTCAAAAGTTTTGATTCTTCGTTACTAATGATGCTTGACCAGCTCCTTACGCCCGAGTACCGTTCGCCGACATGGCGCTTATCCCCGTCCCCTTGACCGCCGAGACCACCAACACCAGCATCGAACAAGACTACCTGACCGTTTCCGATGTCTTCTCCATCGGATGGATTGCTGTCACTAGATCCGGCTTTGAGCCCGGCGACACTGTTGCTGTATTTGGCGCTGGTCCCGTGGGCCTGCTTGCTGCGTACTCCGCCATACTTCGCGGGGCATCTCGGGTGTACAGTGCAGACCATGTCCCCATGAGACATGAGAAGGCCGCATCCATCGGAGCCGTGCCCATCAACTTCATGGACAGTGATCCTGTACAGCAGATTCTCGCATACGAGCCCGGTGGTGTCATCCGAGCCGCCGACGCCGTCGGTATGGAAGCCATCACTGCCAACGGTACAATGCAGCAAAACATCGTGCTGAATCAGATGGTCGAACTCGTCGCTGCAGGGGGCGGAATTGGCCAGATTGGAATCTACCTGGCCCAACCAAACACTGGTTTGGCTCCGAATGCAGAGAGAATCATGCCGGAAGTCTCGTTTCCCTCACCCAGTTCTTTTCGAAGGGTATCAGATACGAAGGTGGTATGGCAGATCCCGAGACTGTTGCTGGGGAGCTCGTCAACTTGATTTCCAGAGGTATTTCGTGGCTAGCGCATCTATCGACATTGAGGAAGTACCTACGTACTATGAGCGATTGAGCAATCAACAGGAGCTCAAGTTATTCATCAAGTTCCCTTGAATAATGAACTCGATGACCGACTAGCCTGTTTAAATCGGCTGAGTGCATCTGCAGAATATCCAAGCACCCTTTCTGGTACTTGGAGTCACGGGTTGTATCCATCCTCGCGACATGTAGACTCAAAGAGTTTACTTGCGAGGAGTCGACGGGCTTTGCGGAAGCCCAAATTTCAAGAGCACGGTATATCTGACTAGACTTGGCTCTCACTAAACTTCAACTCCTTGTACATATTACGTAGTTGGAATAACTTGAGACTGGCTGCCTGTTCTCATCAAGACTTGTCCATGACCAGATCCAAAATCGTAAGATTTGGCCCAGTCCATCTCTTCCCTTTGATGAACCATAGACCTACTGCAACCAGCAGGACGAAGACCATGACTGGTCCGCAATAATTCATGTTCTCTGCAGTTACAGGAATCGTCGAAGGGAAAGGTAGGAATACAATGACATAAAGGGTGTAATCAAGGCAAACGAGTTGATATAAAGACCGAACCGACCAAGGTTCCACTCTCCTAGTTCAACACCTCCTTTGGATGAGAAGCGAGCGTACAACATGCTGCTGATTGCGATCGCATAGCTGAGGTAGAGAGCCATGGATGAGAGGGAAGTGATAGCGCCGAAAGCAACGTAACTCGAACTTCCAATGTTGAGAAGACAAAGAGCACAAACAATGAACACCGTGACGATAATGGCGCGAATCGGTACGCGGTGCTTTGGGTGGACGTATGCCAGATAAGCAGGCATGCCTCCGTCCCTGGACCAGGCCCAAGTGAGACGGGATACCGATGCGATGTTGGCCAAGTTGACGCTAAACGAGACGACGAAGAGGCCGGTGATCATGGCCGTCGTGGCGCCCTTGGAGCCGGTAATGCTGAGAAGAATGGTGAGAATTGGACTAGCCGAGTTGAGGGCGTCGTCGATTGAGCCCATTGAGACGAGAATGACGCAGACCATGATGAATCCAAGGCATCCGTTCATAAAGATGGACCAGAACATAGCACGAGGTACCGCAGACTTGGCCTTTCGGGTTTCCTCGCTCATGTGAATGGCACTGTCGAAACCTGGACAGATTGTTAGCCAAAACGTTGGATTATCTTTGGATGATCGGCTCATACCGGTGAAACTCCAAACACAAGTCAACATGCCGAGATTCCAAGCAATGAAGTTATCCGTCCATCCAGACGCAATGTTGGTTTCCAAGAAGAAGCTGCTCGAGTGTCGAGTCCCCATCACGGCCAAAACCACGACAAAGACGACGAACAAGCAGACATGAAGAACTCCAGCCACAAGCTCAACCCACGGGATCACTCTAAAGCAGTACGTGTTCATCAAACCCTGAATAACGCACATAGCGATGACGAGCACCGAGGTGTGCCAACCTCCCGGCACATAGTTGGGGTGATTCAGCTCAATCATAGACTCCAGGAGAATGATGGTGACGTTCGCAATGCCAGCAAGGAGCGACACATAACCAAACCACGTCGACCATCCCTGGATCCAGGTAGCGAAGCGCTTGACACGTGCGGGGGCGAGGTGGAACGTCCAGTGGTACTGGGCACCGGCGACAGGTTGGATTGAGGCCATCTCGCCCAACGAAGCGGCTTGTGCGATGGCTCCGCAAAACACTATGACGAAGCTGAAGATGAATGTTTGAGGACCGCCGTTGTAGAGTGCAAAGTACATGTTTCTTGGGATGGAGTCAGACCAAGCACGGCCATGAATCTTTAGAGCGGATCGACAGTATACTTACGTGCACATGCCTTCCCATAAGGCCATGTAGGTCAACGAAAATGCGAAGAGCTGGGAGAAGGAGAACACTCTCCGCGTCCGCGTCTGGTTGTAGACTTCGGATCCATGTTTTGACTCGTTTGCGTCAATCTGACTGGCGTTTTTGGCGGCGGGCTGCAGCTCGATTGCTTCTGCGGGAGCCATGACGAGATGCTCGAGAGACCAATTGAGGCAGTAATAGAAGGGAAGTCAACAACAAGAAAGCGTTCTGAGTTTTCTTGATGTAAAAATGAGGATGAATGATATGCTTTCGATCCGCGGCACATGTAAGAGTCTCTTCAAGGAGTCGAGTTGGGGAAGATTAAAAGAGCCGGGCAGCACCTCCACAGCCTTGGCCAAATGCTGCACCATATGCACATAAATATCAGCAGGTGTAGCCACAGACGAGAGAGATGTGAGACAATGACCCCAGTAGCCGCAGTAAGCTTGCAGATGGATGGGCGACTCTGAACCTAGGGAATGATTGGCGAAGGGAGTATCCGGATCATCTCCTTTGATGCAGCTACGGCTGGCGGTTGGAAATCAGTACCAACGAGGATTTAATCAAAAATTCGGACTAGGTTCCGCTGAATATGCATGTTGAAGCAAACACTGCTTCCTCGATGGGAACTATTACCGACCAACAGGTGGCCTCCGCGGTGGGTTCGAGCCGGGGTTCCTGCATGCCGGGAGGGGTTCGACCACACGGACTCTAACCGTACCGTTCCCGGAGCTACTTGGCATCACCGGACCCTCCAAACTTTGCAGTTGGATCGACCACATATGGTCTCTGCCGGTCAGATTCCGTTGTGGCCATCACTTCGTTAGTCGTGGGCTGAAGAATACCCGGGTACCAGGGTTACGCTGCTTTGCGCCCATGTATTCGTCACTTCTCCGTGCGATCTCCCAGCGCGACTCAGGGTGAGGGAATCGATATCCAAGGTACCTGCAAATATTCTAACTCCGATCCTAGGTGAATCTGGTCCGGATGTCTGAGCTCCTCTGCAGAGAATGTAATCCGACTCATTGATCGATCTCACAACGATGGTCTGGATGCTTGCATGTGGCTGGGGTTTAGGGACTGCTGTCTTCTGAGAGGCATGTGTCCGAGCCAATGAACGCAGTGAACACTAGTTGGGCATAATCAAGTTGGAGAGCAAACTTTGCCAGGTTACGCGCGGAAGCTTACTACTTTACGTGTCATTTCAAAAAGTACGCACTAGAGTCTGGATACGGACACATGAAGTGTGATGTTTCCAACAGTCCCAACGAAGCCTGCCATGTTGACCTTAAGGACCAGACTCAAGATGAGTTCAATTTAACTGCTCGACATCTCATTTGGTCTTTTGACTCCACATCATATGTACCACGAAACTTCTCGTCACATCAGATGTTGGCCCACAGGCAAACTTCGCTTCCATCCTTGCAACACGTAACAGAACCACAATGGAAATTTCACCCCGCGCACACAGAGAGGGTTTTTTGAGAACCCGACGGAAGGACTCAAACTATGTAATAATCTCAAAGATTTGGTAGGCAGTCTGTCACCCTTCTTACGCACGAAAGACAAGGCTCCGTCATGTGGGACTTTCAGACACATGTATTACCTGTACTTAGCAAGTGCACATGTATGTTTAACTCACTCAAGACATGACGGAGTTCACACACTAGCATGTTTGGGCCTAGCAACCCTACTTCAGATTCTGTGTTGGTTGATTTGCTCGACACATTGCACGGAGCTGCTGTGTAGATCTTCGCAAACTACTCCGGATTCTGATCAGAACGCCGGGCTGTTGGATCGATGATGAATTGCCCACACAATTACCATGGGCCTGCCACCCCCCCCCCCCCCCCTTGTAGCTCATGGTGCTTATTGATTACAAAGTTCAAACACTCTGCAACCCCATCAAGGAAACAGTAAAACCACGAGGATGAGGCTCAACTAAATCCTTTTAGCGAAAATCATGTCAATGGACCAGCCGAGTATGGCAGTCGACATTCAACCAGATCCTCCATTCTACGCATTGACGGAAGACGATCAAGCTGCGCTAGTCGTTGTTGCCTCGCTCATCTTCCTCGTTTACGCCATCGTCGGAATATCTTTGAAGCTTATCATTCGTCTCAACATCACCTCTTTGAAGAGCCACGATGTAATACTATTAGTCGCGACCGGATTACTTCTCTCACAGACAGTCTGCATCATCATTGCTTGCAACCACGGACTAGGCCATCATCAAGATATAGTAGAGCCTCATAATCTCGAGGCATTTCACAAGGTATGCAGCCATATAGCAAGAGCAGAAGTAGAGACGAAATTGACCAAAAGTCATAGCTCTTCTACGCTTCCTCCATACTCGCGATTGCGATTGTCGCTAGCACGAAGATTTCACTATGCCTCCTCATTCACTCCATCAATAATCACGGACGACTGAATCTTGCAAACAAAGTACTCTTCGGTGCCATCGTTGCTTGGGGCATCTCTGGAATAACGATGACGGCCTTTCAATGCTCCCTACCGCAGCCGTGGCTTGCCACTGCTAGTAAGAAGTGCCCAGGCCGAGAGGGTATTTTCCTCTACAACGGCGTGATGGACATCTTTACGGATGTTTGTCTATGTCTGCTTCCCGTCGCTATGATGTGGAAAGTGCAGACTGCGTTGAAGAGAAAGGCAATGGTTGTTGCCCTTTTCACCACGCGCATCATGTAAGTTGCTCCGATATTTCAATTCAGCGATGTATCAGTTGACAAATCTTTCGCACAGCATTCCTATAATCACGATTCCGAGACTGATTCACACACATATCATGGTAACAGACTACACTGACACGACATGGAACGCTGTACATCACATCATATGGTTACAAGTCTCACTAGGCATGTCAATCCTCACAGCATGCATCCCAAGTCTGAAGGGAGTCATCGACAGCCTCCTCGGGTCCACCTCCGTGGCCGCCATTCAGGCACCTTACCATTTGTCCTCGTCAGGCAAAGACGGCGGTAGGCTTCAACCAACGACTTGGCCGATCGGCAGCGGGTCCAACACGAGACCGGGGTCTCATCTGGCGAGCGGCGCAGGAGATTCGAGGATCGCGAGGGCTGGTTTGGCTAGAGTACCCGAGTG